TCAGAACATTCACGATTATAACTGGATCAGCACATTTTATAATTATCCAGTGTCTGAAGTCCACCAAACCTCAAGCAGGCGTTGACCAGGACATTGCAATGTTTGAAGAGTTGGCAGATGCACCGGCAACGGATGAAACTGCAGGAGAAGCCTCAGAAGCCGAACCACCACAGGAGGATGGACGGCCTCCCACGATTTATGAGCAATCAGTGGCTGATCTCGAGTCACGCGTCATGGAAGTGCGGTATGCCGAGCTACAAGATGAAAAGGAACTGCTGGAGGTAACTCCACTAGAGTATCGTTTCGCGATATCCACGCGGATGGTTCAAGCCAGAAAGCGCTGTTCACTGTAGCTGCAGAACAGCGGGGCCCCCTGCCTAAGTGGGGGCACTCACGCGGCTCCGACGCCGAGGAGACGTATCATGCCCCTTTGTGCTCCATGGTCGAAGATTGCAGTTACGGACTGGACCCAGACGAAAATGAACAATCTGCAGAACTCTGTCGCACGGCAGAAATGTCACAGGTAGTCTTGTCCGAACCACAGCACATGATATTAGATGTCGACCGTGTGACCACTATGCGAGTATACATTACCGCCGCTGCAAAGCGAGCTGCGGTCGTCACGGAAGACGACGGCCTCGCGAGGGCTGACGTCCAGGCGAATCCCGAGAAAGTACCGAAGGCCCTCTACACCGAGCTCAAGACATGGTTCGGCAACAAGTGTCTCAAAATGCAAGACGTATCTAAAGCGTCAAACATCACGACTTCGAAGTACGTGCACACGTGAAAGTTTGTGAAGAACGAGAAGGGTGATATGGAACGCACCATCAGGTTACGCCTGGTGTTTCGGGGCTCCATGGGCCTTGAAGCCTTCGACGTGGAAACCGTTTCGGGAACAGCGCGGCGGTCAAGCCAGAGACTACTCGCGAGCACGGCAGCGTGCAAGGAGCAATGGGTTATTGCTTCTCTCGACATCAACATGGCATTCCTAGAAGGGTTGACCTACCAGGAACTTGCTGAGGCAACTGGTGAACAAGGAACGTGTGGTGCGTTTTGCTCTTCCGCCTGGATCGGCCGCGGTGCTTCGGACTCTCCCAGGGTTCGAACGCTACGACGAGCCAAAGCACTGCTTGCAGTGTCTTGAACCAGGCACTGGCACCAAAGACGCACCTCGAGCTTTCTCACTAAAGCTCAGAAGGACCCTCAGAGGGTTTGAGACGAGCAGCAACCTGCTTTTGGCCACGCATGTTGATGACATCAACATGGCCGGCACTGAGGACACCATTGGCAAGTGTGTCAAGTGCGTAGAGGACAGGTTTGGCAAGTGTAAATTCAACAAGCACACATGCACCAATTGTGTTGTGGGATGCACTAAGGATGAGGACGGCAATGTTACTTTGGACCAAGACGAATACATCAAGCATCTCCGTCCTATACGACATCCTGAATCTACCCGCGCCGACGCTGACGCTCAGGCACCCAAGATGGTTGCAGACATGTTCGTCGGCCTCAGAGGCGCGCTGGCGTACGCATTAATCACCCAGGCGCGGTTGATGGTGCATGTTGTATCTCTACAACGCGTCCAAGAACTGACCAATATATAAGTGCGACGACTGAGCGCGATCACCAGGAAACTGCAGGCCTGCCCCAAGAAGATCGCCTATCAGGCGATGACCCCTACGGGCGAGGTCGACCTGCACAGAGACTCAGGTTACCGACGCTTGAGTGGAGATGCCGATGACGACGTCGAGGGCTATGGTATTCGCGGGGCAAACCTGCTACGGCGTGGAAACACGCCATCTGGTAAGCCCGTCGCCCACTTGATCGACGCGCACTGCAAGTCTCACCGCTTGCAATGCCGCTCGAGCTTTTCAGCAGAGACACTAGCAGCTGCCGGTACTTTGGAGGACTGTTACCCCACGAGCGTGACTCTGCACGAGCTCCACGCAGGGCCGCTCACTCCTACTCAGGTTGAAAGCCATACTTGAATTTGGTGGCCTGCGCATCAAGGTCACTTTGGTCCATAAAGCCGATCTCCCGCATTTTCCGCAGTCCTTTCTCTCGTAAGGAGGGGGGGGGGCCTCGCGCTGGGCGCCCGCGCATGGTCGACGTGGTCCTGGCGACCACCGCCCTGGGCGCCAGCGCGCTCGGCCCCGCCGTCCTCGTGCCCTTGGCCGCCGCGGGGGGCTACTGGCTGTCAGGACTCGGACGGGCTGCGGGCAGCCCTGCCCCTGCCGTGGGGGCACAGCCCGCCTTCACGTGCGCCTGCCCCCGGGAGGGCTGGCCGCTGTGGGGGCTCGTGCTCGTTTTCGTGGTCGGGGGCAGCTGCGTACTCTGCTGCCTGGGCTGCTCCACAGCTGCCGCGGGCCTGGCCTGGTGGCGGCGTGACCACGCCGCCGCTCGGAGGAGGCTCGAGGATCAGGTGCAGGCACCGAACAGTCTTGTCAATCGTCGGCGGCTCGCTGGATATCAATTGTAATGGAGGCCAGGACCGTCGATGGTGTGATTGCAATCAGCGACGCGCCCGACTCCTACAGCCGTCTCATATGGCTTCGAGAAGAGGAGGAGGGCGCAGCTGCCCTGGTACGCCGGCGTCGGGGTGGTCTCATGCTCGCGGCCCCAGGGGGCAGCATCCTCGAGACCGAGCTCGCTGCGAGCCAGCAGGAGGAGGACCATGCCCTCGGGCCCTTCGTCAGGGCCAGAGTTCGAGGCGCAGGGCTGGCCAACCCCGCCAGTGCGCTGGCCACCGTGTCGTTCGAGATCCTCCTTGTGGACGTCGAGGAGGGCGTGCTGACGGAGCTGGTGCCGGAGGCCGTGTACTACGAGGACGGGCAGCACGCTCAGCGGGTCCTTCGGCACTTCACCCCGCGGGCGCGGCACTGGCCGCATGGGCGGACGGTGCTGGAGGAGTCCTCGCGGGCCTTCCGCTCGCAGTTCGGCGAGGAGGCCTTTGCGGAGTTCTTCACAGCCGGAGAGGAGGAGGCCGAGTCCGCGGTGATTGTCGGGGGGAGCTCCGAGCAGCCCGCCGAGGAGGAGGCAGCGGAGGTGGCGGGCGTGCTGCGGGACGGCTTCGCGGAGTCGGACGGGCCCCTCGAGCCGCCGCCGCAGCGGGCTGGGAGGCCGCCTCCTCTGCAGCGCCCGCCGCAGCCCGCGCCCCCGCGGGCAGCGCCGCCAGGAGGGCCGCTGGCTCGCGCCGCAGCAGGGGAGGTGGCAGCGGCTCCACTGCTGGGGAGCGGAGGCGCTCTCGCGGGGCGCTCTCCGCCCACGGCCTTCGGGGTCGCCCCTCCGCCAGCGCCGTCGGCCTTCGGCCGCCCAGCGCCGCCACCAGGGCCGCCCTCACGCAGCGGAGCCGCGGACTTCGAGTCGCCGGCTGCCTGGCAGGCCGTCCTGGGTCGTCACGGAGCCCCCCCTGGACCCGAGCTGCGTGGCCTTCGGACTACGGCCGCGCCCGCAGGGGCTTTCCCGGGGACCGGCGAGGACTTCGCCGGGGAGGGCGAGGACGACGCGGCCGGGGGCGGCACGGAGATGGAGCGCTTCGCGGCCGCGCTGATGGGAGCTGCCCGGGCCTTCAGCCAGCGCGGCGAGGAAGGCGGTGCCGGAGGCAACGGCGACCTCATGGGCCTCGGGGGAGGCAACGTCGGCGCCGGCGTGCGAGGCACGGCCCACCGCGAGGCGCTCATCGCGGCGAGGCGAACCTCGCCCGGCAGCTTCTCCAGGTCGTTGATGGAGGCCATGGCCGCACAGGGCCGCTCCTCGCGCCAGCCCCGGGGCGTCGCCTACGACCCTCCCGAGCCCCGCCTATGGCTCGAGAGGACGGGCGGGTGGTCGGAGTTCACGCCAGGCAGTCCCAACACGGTGCGGGACCTCGCCCTGATCGCGTGGCAGGTGGCGGACATCGTGGACCGCCTGTGGATGAATCAGATCGCGGAGGCGGCGGACTCCGCCGCGCTGCTGCTGATGGGCCTGGACCAGGCCAGGATCGACGGAGGCAGGCTCGACATGATGTGGCTGTACCAGTTCGAGCGCGACCCGCCCGCCTCGCTGTTTGCGAGGGGCGGGCAGTCCGCAGTGGGGACACGACAGTTCAGCTCGCTGGCGAACCCGCGCTGGTCCACGGTGAACCTCGCCTACCTGCGGGAGCTGGACCTGCTGGAGACCAGGAGGAGCGAGCTGCAGCGGCCCCAGGGGCGGACGCCGGTGCCCAGAGCCCGCGGGGCCCCCGAGCAGCCGCAGCCCGAAGGCGCCGGTGTGATCGGCCCCGGAGGCGGGGCCGCGGAGGCCGGCGCCAAGCCGCGGCCGCCCCGCAGGAGGCCGAAGCCGGCATCGCCGGCTTGAGGGCCTCCCCTGACCGAGAGGGGGACACAGGAGGAGCCCCTGACGGACGGCTCTTCTGGCCAGGACCTGCCGACCCTCGCCATCATGACCAGCAGCGTGGTGAAGTGGTCGCACCGCTTTCGTGGAGCGGGTCCTTACTCCGTCGTTTGCGGGCTCTGAGGACGAACTTCTCTTCGTACATCGGAGCCTCCGTTTGCGCTGCAGCGCAGTTTCAGCAGCGGCAGCTCGCTGGGGCATCGCGCACCGCGCCAGTCTTCCCACTTCCTCTTCCTCCTGTTGATGGGCTGCAAGGGGCGGCTCGCAGGGAGGGAGGCTACGCTGACCTCGACGCGAAGGTCGAGCAGCTGCTCCTCGTCCTCGTGTGCGCGCTGAACTACGTCTACGAGGGGCGGCCGCCTCGGCCGCGTGACCTTTCCCTCCTTCGGTCACCAGCGTCCTCTGTGCAAAAAGCTTGCCTGGACCGTCTGCGTTTGATATGTTGGAGCTGGTGTCGTGATGGAATTAACCCCTACCCACTCTTCGCTGGTCGTAAAGCCGATTCTACTTCACATCTTTTTAGCGATGCTATTGGTGCCTTTCAGGAGCATGGAGAATTGACCTCTCGCAGTGTCGGTGAAGTGGACGTTGAACAGTCAAGTGCCTATGACAGTTATGCACGTGCGCTTTCAGATCATCTCAGAGCTGTTGATCCGTGCGGACTTCAGGGCCCCCGTCGAGTTCACCCTGTCCCTGGAGCCTACGCCCCTCTCTGTCCTGAACGTCTGGTCCTTGGGGGGCCTCTCGCTCACTGGTCCATCGGGGATTTCTTGGAGCCTCCGCTGTCGCTTGCCTTCGACGAGCCGGGGGTCCTGCGTACTAGCCGGGTGGACCCGTCGTCGTACCAGTGGGGGGACGCCAGCAAGCTCCCCCGGGCCCAGCAGTTGGCCTTCTTCCAGAAGCTGGACAAGGCAGGGCTCCTTGGGTTCACCGAGGGCCCTGTGGCGGCCCATGAGCAGTGTAACCCGTTCAACGTGTGGAAGAACGCCTCGCGGGACCGGTTGATCATCGACCGGAGGGGACCGAACGGCCAGGAGGGGAAGATCGTGGGAGGACCCGCCTCTCACCTTGCTGCAGGTGCTCGGCTCTGTGAACTTAGTGTTGTTCGGGGTTCTGAATGTCTACGGGGCTCGTCTACGGACCGTCGGGATATGTTCTATCAGGAGCACGTCACACCTGAGCGCGCCGCCACAAACGTCCTGGGCCCAGCCTTGCCCATAGACCAACTTCACAAGTCCCTTGGTGTCGATCCTGATCGTTTTCATTCTGCTGCTGCAGGGGGCCGCCCAGGTCGTCTGGGTCGTCGTGCCTTTCAGGGAGACCGATTTCTTCTGGAAGCGTCTGGACCTGATGCTGGTCCACGTGGCTCGGGGCTCGTGCACGGCACTCTGGCTTCCAATCCCATGGGGGACCACACTGCCGTCGACGTGGCTCAGGGCGGCCACCTCAATCTTCTCAGGAGCTACGGCCTGCTTGCGCCCGAGAACTTCATAGATGGTCGTTGTATCGACGACTACCTTGTTATTGGGCGTCACGCTTATCCTCCAGGCGAGTCTCGTCGAGATTTGGAGTTGTTCGATCGTGCTGGGCGCCTGGCCTACGTAGACTCCTCGTTATCAGGCAGCTCCTCTAAGGAGGTCAGGGACGCCGAGCGCTTCGTGGTCGTTGGCGCTGAGGTCGACTCCTCAGCTCGGATGGTAGATCAAGGGTACGTACCAGTGGGTGCGTCCGTCGAGCGGCGACTGCCGTTGGCGGAGCTCTGTCTTCGGGCAGCTCAGCTTCCGCGAGCTCCTGTGGCGCTGGTGGATACTCTGGTGGGGTCCTTGGGTGCAGTGTTCGCCTACCGTCGCCCCCTATTCGTCTGCCTCAACCACGTATACAGCTTCGTTGCCCAGGACCGCACCATTGATCACATTATCCCTCGTGCTGTCAAGGACGAGCTCAGCTTGGCCTCTGCGTTGTCGATCGCCGCGGAGACGGACCTAACCGTCCCCTTCAGTGACGTAATCTATGCTACCGACGCCTCTCCTTCCTTTGGGGCCATCTGTACATTAGAAGTCTCGCCCGCGCTGTCGTCGGCCGTTTGGCGCTGTGGTGAACGCCGAGGTGGGTATTCCCGACTGGATAGCCGGGCCTGTGGAGTCCTACGGAGTGCCGGCGCGCTCCCGCACAGCATGGAGAGCGCGCAGTGCGTCGAGTCGGATCTCCCCACGTTCGTCCGCCGCGGGATCGCCATGGTCTTCGACTTCATTGAGTTTGCCGGCGGCTCTGGTGTCCTCACTCGGTACCTCGCGTCCCAGGGTGTCCTTGTCGGCCCTGTCATTGACATATCGTACTCTCGGCACTATGACCTATCGTCGCGTCGTCTGATGGAATGGGCGGTGTGGATGCTGTATGAGGGCCGCATCCTTACCTTTGCCGCAGAGCCTCCGTGTACAACGTTCTCGCCTGCCGCTCACCCCGCTGTCCGTTCCTACCGTCAGCCTATCGGGTTCAATCGCACGGATCCCAAGACGCGCTTGGGGAATCTACTGGCCTTCCGCTGTATGCTACTGATGTTGGTAGGGCTCCGCGTAGAGGCCCCTGGTGGGCTGGAGCAGCCTCGCCTGTCTAAGATGGCTTGGCTGCGGGAGTGGTCTCGCCTCTTGGAGCTTGGAGCCGCCGAGACCTGGTTTGCCTCTTGTGCCTACCATGACCCTTCCCTCGATGGAGTCGTCGTCTACCGCAAGGAATTCCGCTGGATGACCGTAGGCTTCCCCGAGTTCACCGAAATGGCGGCGCGCTGTCCTAACACACGGCGCCACCGCGCCCACGCGCACACGATTATCGAGGGAGCGGCCACCAAATACACTGCTACATATACCCGTGGGGTCGTCGTGGCATTGGGAGCTCGGTACCTGGAGGCTATCAGACGGCGTCGTGAGGTAGGCGATACTATGCGGCCCCCGGTGGGCTCCGAGCGGCTTGTGATCAACGAGCTGCTGATGTCGGGGTCTTGGGAGGAGCTCAGGGGATGGGCCTGGAGGTCCCCGGGGCACATTAACATCTTGGAGTCGAATGTCGTGGTGGATCTCTTGGAGGGTCTTGTTCGTAATGGTGGAGATCGTAGGTTCGCTGCGCTTATTGATTCCAGAGTCACGTTGTGCTCTCAGGCAAAGGGACGGTCCTCGAGCAGGGCGTTGACGCGTCCTCTGGAGAAGTCCTGCGCCCTGCAGATCGCCGGGTCCCTCTACCCCTCCTACTCCTTCGCCCCTTCGCGGCTCAACGTTGCGGACGACCCGACGCGGCGCCAGGCGGTCCGCGCAGCATGCCGCCCGAGGCCTGACTGGCTGGAGCACGCGGACCTGCTGGACTGGCTGCTCACGCGGCTACCCACAGCCAAGGCCTGCGCTGCGTGGCTGCGGCTCGTCTGCCTGCTGCTGGGGAGCAGCGGACTTCGAGCGCTGCGGACCGCCCTTGCCGAGGGTCGTCGCCTGGCTCCTGCTCCCGCCCTCTGCGGGGTGCCTGGGCAAGGCTCGGGCGGAGGCCGCTGGGCGGCCACTGGAGTGGCTCGCGTCCCAGTGAAGTCAGAGAAGAGTGAATTCGCTCCTGTGTTTCATCGTGCAGGGCTCTTGCATCACTGACACCTGTACGTGCGTATCGCTGGCGGGTGCACCATTTTGGAGCAGAACTGGTATCCTCTTCGTGTTTCTGGTTGCGACTACTTGTGAGCCAGCAGGAGGTCTCCCCAGCCCCGCTATGCCAGATTTTGGAAGGTCTCGTCTCGCTAAACATGATCCAGAGTTTGCTAATCGTCGCGCAGTTCCTTTGCCTTCAGGGCGTCCGATTCGTGCGGCCACTCGCCGTTCCAGAGAAAAGTTACTTACTGAATTCGACCTTTGGTTAGTGGAGATTGCTGGCTATCCTTGTCTTGGGAGCTTGCTGGAGCAGACAATGGGGGACCCTCGCATCATCAACGGAGTTCTGGTTGAGTTTGGCCAGTACCCGAGCGAGTTTCTGCTGGCGAAGCGTGCCCAGCTCGTACTGCCACGTGACATCCTTTTCGAGAGGCCGTACGCACTCTTCACCATCCAACTCCCGAAGACGGCCACGCTTGGGGCCAAGGTCCAGAGCGCCCGAGTCGAGCCGCCCGACATCGTCGAGATGCTGGACTGCATCATCGGCGCCGCACCTCCTGATGCGATGCTCTGGCCGATGAGCGGCCAGACCTTCAGGAAGCGGTTCAACAGCCTGTGTCGGGAGTTGCGGCCCCCTCTCAACCTAGGGGGGAAATGCCGAGGAGCGCTCGATCTTGCTTCTCTCCGTGCGGGTGGCGCCACCCAGCTCTTCTTGGAGACGGATGATCCGCATCTCGTCTAAAATAAGGGGTCGTTGGATGTCTCAGAAAGTCATGCTCATCTACCTCCAGGAACTGGTCTCTACTACATATATGTCCGAACCTCCAGAGGCGACCAGAACGGGGATCTTCCAGATGGGCTCTCAGGTATCTTGGATGGGGCCACAGGCTGCTACGTGGGTTCGCGACGGGATCCCTGCTTCGTCTTGGCCTTCCATATGGTGCTCCATGAGGCCCCCATCGTGATCCTCTCTTTCATCCAGGTCCCTGTGGGCTTCCAAGAGTCGGTGGTCATCCGCCTGGTCTCGCACTTGTTCGTTGTCGTTTTCAGTTCGTTCTCCCTGATCGTGTCGGAGCTGAGCCGGGAGCGCAGCACTGCTGCGAAGAATGGGGTGACGGGTTACTGAGTCTGCCGTGCCAGTCCGAGCCTCTAGAGAGGCTCCGTCTTTCTTGTACCTGCCAGCCGCGTCCATCTTCAGCGGCAGACAGGCCCCAGATGCACAGCAGGTCTTTTAGATGTCTCTCCGATTGCAGCGTAGCGGAAAGAGAGGGGCGAATGTCAGGAATAGAAGGGTTGAGGCTTTGGTCCATAAAGCCGATCTCCCGCATTTTCCGCAGTCCTTTCTCTCCCCCGTGGCCAGCCCTCGCCTTGGTTACTGAGTCTGCCGTGCCAGTCCGAGCCTCTAGAGAGGCTCCGTCTTTCTTGTACCTGCCAGCCGCATCCATCTTCAGCGGCAGACAGGCCCCAGATGCACAGCAGGTCTTTTAGATGTCTCTCCGATTGCAGCGCAGCGGAAAGAGAGGGGCGAATGTCAGGAATAGAAGGGTTGAGGCTTTGACCATAGATGCTGAATATGTTTTAAAGTCCTTGTCAAACAAAGACTTGAAGAAGCCGACTGGGTGTACCCTTTTAGGACACATCAGTTGGATACGATTGATGATGGAGCGTGGAGTCGTGCACAGTATTCAGTGGTGCGACACCCGCGATATGACTGCGGTCGGTCACACCAAGGGGGGCATCAACAGAGAGATGCTCCTACAGGTCATGGGAGGTATACAATCCTTCAAACATGACTTAAAGAGTCACACTCTCTATCGGGCTGGCCAGACGTCCTGTTCTGCGGCCGCCTGAGGGGTATCTTATGTACAGAATCGTACAGGCAAGGCAACTTCCGTGCGGGTCCACCTTCCAAACGGCCCCGCCCTTTTGCTGCCCTTGTGTAGATAGTAGCTGCTGCGCTTGCTGCATAGGGGCGGCGGACTCACGCCTCGTCCCCCTCCCCCTCCCCGACTCTAAAGTGAGTTGGGGACACAAGGGGCGGAAGCGAACGCGCGCCCGCGGCCGCGTGGCTCAAGCGGCCGGCCGCTCAGATCTGACCACACGTCAGCGCGAGGTGTATTATTTGCCATCGATGCCAAAATACTGCTCGAGATTTCTCGCCCCCTACTACTGGGACTATCGCTACTGCGGTACAACAGAGCGGGAGCTGGGCTTCGCCTAAGGCGAAACTGTTGGTTTTGTCTCCCAACCCCCTTTCAAACTATCTTGAGCCGTCTTGGAGGTCATTGCGGGCTCTCTGGGGCCCTCTTGGAGTCGTCATGGGGCGAAACAGTACCCTCTGACGTTTCGCGGGGCGCCCGTCGAGGTCCAGGAGAGAGGGAGTAGGGGGAGGGGTAAGCCAATCCCCGAAGGGGAAGAAGGGGGTTGGACGAGGAGCCCGCCTCGACAACCTACTCCCAAAGGACTGGGGGGATTCCTTCCCTATCTTTCAATTTTTCCACCGAGGCCGATGGCAACGGGGACAACCCATATACGCCCACCACCCGCCGTCGGCAAATTCTCGAGGAAACCCATTTTGAATTTAGCAGACTCCCCCACCGTTTGGGCGGGGCGCCCCGCGGGGAAATGCATTGAGCAGGTTTTCGGCGCACGCACACACACACACCACGGAGGACATCGCCGGGGAATTTGGTGATCCGGTGAGATTAATTTTCGGATTGCGCCGTCAGGCGAAAAATTTGGGGAGCCGCATGTCGCGGTCAATGCTAAACATATCAAGCTGGTTGCGGTAAGGCCCGCCGCCGTGCGATCCCAGCATTCTGAATGGAGACTGTGCGAGGGTGTGAGAGTCGTGCGTTGGAGATGATGACGATGATGATGATGATGATGACGATGATGATGATGATGGCGATGATGACGATGAGGATGATGAGGATGATGATGATGGTGATGATGGTGATGATGATGATATTGATGTTGATGTTGATGTGTATATTGATGTTGTTGTTGATGTCGATGTTGGAAACAGCTCGTTCTGTGGTCGCTTGCAGGGGGGGGCGGGTTGGAACCGGACCCCCCTTTGGACGGAGGGGGGGTGTTCGAACCCCCCCCCCCGTCCCGTGACGGAGGGGGGGGGGGGTTTGGAAGCCCCCCCCCCTTACCTACTTCTCTTCTTTCCTGTTCCTCGGGCCTGCGCCTGCGTCGGCGGCGGCTGGCGGCGGCGGCGGGGGCGACGACTTCCTTTTATGGGCCGGCGCCGGCGCCTGTGGCGGCGGGCGGCGGCGGCGGGGAGCGTCGACGAGGACGACGGCGACGACGATGACGACGACGACGACGCTCCGCCACCGTGCCTTGGTTTGGGGTCAGAGTCCTAACGGATGCCTCTTGGGGTCTCGTCGGAGGGCTCTCGGGGGCCTCTGAAAGTGCATTTGTGAAGCCTCCTGGGCCCCTCTTGGGCGTCTCTTGCGGCCTCTCTTAGGTGGTGATGGTGGGCTGTGGTGGTGGTGGTGGCGGTGGTGGTGGTGGCGGCGGTGGTGGTGTGGTGGTGGTTGGTGGTGGTGGCGGTGGTGGTTTGTGGTGGTGGTTGTGGTGGCAGGCTGTGGTGGTGGTGGTGGTGGCGGTGGTGGTGGTGTTGCGGTGGTTTCTGGTGGTGACGGTGATGGTAGTTGTGGTGGTGCTGTCTTAAAGTGGTGGTGGTGGTGGTGGCGGTGGTGGTGTGGTGGTTTGTCGTGGTGGTTGTGGTGGTGGTAGTGGTTGTGGTGGTGGTGGGTTGTGGTGGTGGCGGTGGTGGTGGTTTTGGTGGTAGTGGTGTGGTGGTTTGTTGTGGTTTTAGTGGTTGTGGTGGTGGTTGCTGGTGGCTGGTGGTGGTGGTGTGGTCGTGGTGGTGGTGGTGTGGTGGTTTGTCGTGGTGGTGGTGGGTTGTGGTTGTGGTGTTGGCGGTGGTTGTGGTTGTGGTGGTAGTGGTGTGGTGGTTTGTTGTGGTTGTAGTGGTTGTGGTGGTGGTTGCTGGTGACTTGTGGTGGTGGTGGCGGTGGCGGTGGTGGTGTGGTGGTGGTTTGTGGTGGTGGTGGTGGTTGGTTGTTGTTGTGGTGGTGGCGGTGGTGGTGTTGTTTGTAGTGTGGTGGTTGTGGTGGTGGTGTTTGTGGCGGTGGTGGTGGCGGTGGTTTGTGACGGTTGTGCTGGTGGTGTTGGTGGTTGTGGTTGTGGTGTTACTGGTGGTTTGGTGGTTTGTGGTGCTGGTGGTGTGCTGGGTTGTGGTGGTGATGGTGATGGGTGTGGCGGTGGTGGCGTGGTGGTGTGATAGATTGTGGTGGTGGTGGGTTGTTGTGGTGGTGGTGGCGATGGTGAGTTGTTGTGGTGGTGGTGGTGGTAGTTGTGGTGGTGGTGGTTGTGTGGTTGTGTGGTGGTGGTGGTGGGTTGAGGAGATGGTGGTGTTGGTATTGGTGGTGGCAGTGGTGGTTGTGGTGGTTGTGGTGGCGTGGTGGTTTGTGGTTTGTGGTGGTGGTGGTGGTGGGCTGTGGTGTTGGTGGTGGTGCTGCTGCTTCTGGTAGCGGTGCTGGTGGTGGGTGGTGGGTGGTAGTGAGTGGTGATGGTGGTGGTTGTCGTGGTGGAGGTGGTGTGGTGGTTTGTGGTGGTGGTGGTGGTAGTGGTGGGCTGTGGTGATGGTTGTGGTGGTGGCAGTGGTGCTGATGGTGCTAGTAATGGTGTGGTAGTTTTTGGTGGTGGTGGTGGTTGTGGTGGGTTGTGGTGGTGCTGGTGGTGGTGGCGTTTTTCCCCAAACAGCTTGCTGAACGGGGTGCTGTTGTGATAGAAGCTAACTCCAGCCGTGGGAATCCAAAGCAGAGACGTCCTCAACAAATGTGGTGGTCTGGGCCGTTTCGCCTGAGACATCCTCGCAACTCTCGTTTCTGAGTTGTCTGGGATTGGGCGTTTCGCGTGAGACATCCTCCAAACTCTGAGTTCCCAGATGCCGCGCAAGAGGTTCGCCCGAGATATCGTCACAATTCTGGGGTCCGAGATGCCGCGCGAGAGGTGGTCTGGCCCGTTTCGCCTGAGACATCCTCCAAACTCTGAGCTCTGAGATGCCGCGCGCGAGGTGGTCCGGCCCGTTTCGCCTGAGACATCCTCCAAACTCTGAGCTCTGAGATGCCGCGCGCGAGGTGGTCCAGCGCGTTTCGCTTGAGACATCCTCGCAACTCTGAATTCTGAGATGCCGCGCAAGAGGTGGTCCAGCCCATTTCGCTTGAGACATCCTCGAAACTCTGGACTCCGAGATGCCGCGCGCGACGTGGTCCGGCCCGCTTCGCCTGAAGCATCTTCCAAACTCTGAGCCCTGATGTGCCGCGCGCGAGGTGGTCCGGCCCATTTTGGCATCCTCGCAACTCGGCGCTCTCTGATGACGCGCGAGAGGTTGTCCGGCCCGTCCGCTTGAGAGATCCTCCGAACTCTGACCCCCGAGATGCCGCCCAATAGGTGGTCCGGCCCGTTTCATTTGCACTTTTGCATTCCGAGATGCCGCGCGCGAGGTGGTCTGGCCAGTGTCGCCTGAGACATCCTCGAAACTCTAAGCTTTCAGCTGCCGCGCAAGAGGTGGTCCAGTCCATTTCGCTTGAGACATCCTCACAATTCTGACCTCGGAGATGCCGCGCGCGACGTGGTCCAGCCCGTTTCGCCTGAGACATCCCCGCAACTCTCAGCTCTGAGATACCCTGCGCGAGGTGGTCCGGCCTGTCTCGCCTGAGACATCCTCGCATTGCGCAAGGTGGTCTGGCTCGTTTCGCACAAGACATTCTCGCAACTCTGAGCTCCCAGATGCCGCGCAAGAGGTGGTCCAGCCTGGGGGCCCAGAAGACGACATGTTACATATCCCCCTGGGAGCCCCAGGAGGCCCCAGAGAGCTTCAGGAGGCCGCAGGACGCCCAGGACAGGCCCCAGGAGTCTCCAGGAGATTCCCACGAGGCTCCCAGGAGGCCCCAGGAGGCCCCCTATCAGAACGTGTCAAGTTAGTAGACATCCGGTGTCGATTCGTTGATTTTTCCTGCTCTTCTGGCCCCCTCCCATTTTGGAAGGCCCAGACGGCCGCATGTTAGATATCCCCCCCTGGCAGTCCCAAGAGGCTTCAAGAAGCCCCAGGTG